CAGCGGGGTGGGAAGCCAGGCAGGAGGTACCCAAGAGGGACCGGGGGGCTGTGGGGGATGAAGCAGATTCCGAGCACTCACCCTGTCCTCTGACACCTCTCTGCACCCACAGCTGCGGCAGGGTCCGGCCGCAGCGTGCCAGCGCCCAGGTCTGTGGTTTGTTTAAGTTTCAGCGATGACTGCTGACAAGATGTTTGCCGAGGCAACCGGCGATGCCGGGACCGCCCCACCCTGCCCCTTACGGCTCTTGGCACCCGGCCGCCTCGGGCCGCCTCTCTATACCGAGGTCAGGGTCACCACCGACCTGTCCCAGCGCAGGCATCGGGGAGAGTCCCTCTCCTCCCTCTCCGCTAAGCTCCCCTGCCCGTGCTGGTTTCCTCCTGCCCCAGCCCAGGAGCTGGGTGGGCCGGGGTGATCCCGAGGGCAGCCGTCCCGCCCGCTCCGCCCCACACTATCTGCATCCTTTCGGGATGGGGTGCGTTGAGCCGTCCAGAGTTTCAACACAAACCAGCTGTAGCCATAGAAGCAAGTTTTGCATCTAAAAACCTTCCGAAATGGGGCACTGCGGCAAACCCGGCATTTTTCACACGCGTCCCGGTCCTCCCAAGCGGGGAACAGCCTCAGGGGTCCCCAGACAACATTTTTTCCCAAAGGCTGGGCGCCCGCTCGGCTCCATCCCCACTCCCCGCGGAGCTTTCCCACGCCGCCTGGCTCCATCCCCGCCCTGCCGCCGGAGCTCCGGGAGCCGCAACAGCGGCAGGAGCGGGGAGGGGCCGGGGGTCGCTCCCGGTTGTGCCGAGGACGCACCCGGTGGACGCGGGGCAGGTGTCCCGGGGGTCACGTCTCGGCAGGCGGAGCTCCCCAGCTCGGCACGGCTCCGCACCGAGCCCGCGGCGCGGGTGGCCCCGGGCGGTGCGGGAAGGGCCGGACAGAGCCGCCCCTTCCGCCCGGCCCGCCGGGGTCTGTCCGGGGCGTGCGGCCGCGCCGGCCCCCTCTTCTGCCGAGGGGGAGCCCTCTGCCCCACCCGTCCCCGCTGCACCTTGGCGCTCCTTCTCCACCCTGCTCCTGGCCCCAGCCAACCCTGACATCCTCCACTTCCCACAGAGACCCCGGCCCCTGCCCTGTCCCGCATGGGAGAGCCGGCCGCCCACAGGCCCTCTGCCTGGGGATGCTCCCTCCTTGTCTAAGAGAACCAGCACTCAGCCCACACTGCCAGAGCCCTGGTGGTCCCTCCAGCAGCCCACCCTGCTGTAGCACCCTTAGCGAGAGCCTGCCCTGCTGTCTGCCTTTCCCCTATGCCAGCCCTCAGCTGTGCCCTGCACCCCGCACATCCTGCCCTGAAGTAGCTGGAGCCCCCAGCATGGTCCTTGGCCCCTGCCCTGTGTCCCTGCATGGGACACCGCGGGCTTTTGGACAGGGACCAGCAGGGACTCTGGGTGAGCTGTACCTGAATTACCTTAGCATGGGGGGCTCCCTGGCCCCTGCAGCACCCAGGGCTTCTCATCGCCACCCCCGTTACTGCTTAAGTTTCCTTGGCACAAGCAGGCACCACGGCACTCTGACCTTAGGTGAAGGTGGCCCAGGGAGGAGGGCAGCCTTGCTTCAGGTTTTCTTCCTGGTCTGGCCCATGCTGGATGTCAGTGTCATGTGGGACCCTCTGGCACGGCACTGGCACTGGGGCAGGGCAGCAGAGGGCTCAGATTCATCCCAACAAAAAAGGAGGGAAGAAAAAGCAACAACTAGCGAGTTTCTCACAGCACTAGAGCTGATGTGGAGGAAGGAGGTTTGGGAGCTTCACAGGTATCCTTGGGCTTTCCAGGTCAGACCTCAACCCTGAAGAGTTGCCTTGGGGTCCTCCTGCAGCTCTCGGGTGCATGTGCAGGATGCAGCCAGGCTTATGCAGGATCCATAACAGATGGCAGGATCTGCTCCTGCAGGGCACTGCTCCCCCTTCCCATCCAAGACATCCCACTGAGCCTGCCAGAGCTTGGGGCATGTCAGAAACAAGGGTATTTATTGATGCCTCAGGTCTGGGTGCCACACCATGGGCTCACCGGGGCCACCCTGTCCTCACCTGCCCAGCCATGAGCTCCTACCACAGCACCTGTATCCTGCAGCCCCCCTGACCTCGGCCCTGTCACAGCCTGCTGATGTCCCTCACTGCAGATGTCAACCCAACCCCTGCTCCTACATTGAAGATGCAGGCCCATCCTGCTCTCACCCTCTGCTACATCAGCCCTGCTTTATGAGCATGGTTTCTCTCCTATCCCTAATACAGCTGGCACAGGGCACCCCAGCTTTTAGGAGATTGGCATAATCCCCTGTCCCTCCTTTGCTCCCCCCAGGACACCTCCATGCTGCTCAGCTGCTCCTGCCCTTCCCAGGCAGGATTACATGGCCCCCACTGCTCCCCAGGGAATGTGCCCATCACCCTGGTGTCCAGCAGGCCTCGAGCTGCTTGTTTGCTGTGCCTTGGGAACTGGGCCATTTACCCTTGCTGGGATTTCTGCCTTCCATGGCATGGCAGGGAGCCAGCTGTGGCATGCCTGGGAAGCAGCAGGCAGAGGCAGGCCAGCATCATCCAGGGAACACAGTGAGCCCTGTGCCCACACTCCCTTCCAGGGTACCAGGGACACGAGGGCACCCCCCTCTGCCTTGCCCACGTCAGCCTGGTCCCACGCTCAGATATAAGTGATCAGGACAGCTTCAAACCGAAAAGTCATTTTATTGGTACCATACATGACTCATAAATGGCACAAACTATGGAGGGGAGGAAGGAAGGAAGGAAAAAAAAAAAGAAAAAAAAAGAAAAAAAAGAAACAAAAAGGCATTACAGTGTGCCCATGGCAGCGAGGGCTCTGCACCCTCCACACAGCAGCCGTGCAGCATGGCATGGAGAATCGTACCTTAATTGTGACACAGAGCCCCCCTCCCCGCCACACTGGGATCCCACCCCTGCCTGCAAAAGGGCTGTGGGGACCCCCGTGCCTGGGGGTCTGAGGGGCCAAGCCCTGCAGCTCCGGCCTGCCCATGGAGCAGCCCCGGAGCCAACACAGGCATCTCTCCAGGGCTATTCAGCTTGAGATCAGACCAGGCCTGACTCACAACCACAGGCACAGCAGAAGGAGAGGACACACAGGGTGTCCCTCACTCCATCTCAGCAATCTCCTGCAGTCTCACCCAGGAGTGGGCAAAGCATGGGGTGCCAGTAGCACTCCTGCAGCAGCCAGAGTCCCTGGGCACAGGCAGGCCCTCAGTGACACCTGCCAGCCCCACGCTGGGGCAGTTGGACAGAGACTGTGGGATCCCCAGCAGGGAACTGGGGGGTGTCTGATGGAGAGAATGGAGTGCACCCCTCACTCCCCCAAACTTCAGGGCTGCTCTGCCTGCCCCAGGCTCCCTTACGCACGCAGACAGACACACAAACCTCTCGCACACACACTCTTACACACACTTATACCCCCACTAGGGCAGTCCCCTCCCACAGCAGCACTTGCTGCAACCCCACCGTGGGGCATGCCAGGGGGTTCCCACAGGCAGCCCAGACTCCCATCTTCCCCCAAAACCCCACTCCAAGGCTGCTGGGGTGAACTGGTTAGTTAGCACAAACACCCTCCCCCAGCACCTCCCATCTTCTTGGAAAAAGCCTTGGAAGGGATTATTTTTTTTCTCTTTTTTTTTTTTTTTTTAAACCAAAAAAAAAACCCAAAAATTATTATTTTTCTCATAATTTCCCCTAACATCAATGGAGGCACCTGCTCTAGTGATAACACATTGAAAGAACAGTATCGTACACACTGTCTACAGCGCGGAAATGTACAAGCACGAGGTACACGAACCCGAGGGGGGAGCGGGGACAACAGCACACAAGATTTACATTGAGAAGAAAGGCGGGGGGCTGGCCCACCCCCAGCCTCTGGAGGGATTAGAAAGGAAGTCTGCAAAGTCTCTCCTTGGTCTGAAGCTCTCCGAACTGGATATAAAATGAGACTTCCAAGAGAAGAAGCCTGTACAAAAGTCAGGACAGGGTGAAAGGGTTCAGGACAGGAGGGGGGAATGGGTAAGGGAGCTGAGGGATATTTTCCCATTTTTTTTTTCTTTCTCTTTTTTAAACTTACAATTTAATAATATTATTTTTTTTTTCTTAAAAAAAGACAAAAGTAGGAGGTACCAGGAGCCAGGGGTTGCAAAGGGGCCCCAGGCAGACTCACGCAGAGTGGAGGGAAACACAGGGGCTGCAGGCAGGGAACAAGGGCACCGGCTGCTCCAGCAGAGCTGCGGGTCCTCCGTGCCCCCCCAGCCCCCACCACGCACTTCCTATATACAAGAGTCCCCCCATGGCTGTGCTGCGCTCTCGCTCTGGGGAGCGAGGGGAAGGGGAAGGTGCAGGAGAGTGGGAAAATGCGACGGGGCCCTATCCTCAACACCATCCCAGCACTGAAGAATCTGACCCTGGCAGGAGGAAACTCCGTGACAGAGCCCGAGGTACAGGGAAGGCTTTCCATCACTGCCCCTCCCAACCAGCCCCACGTTGGACTCGTTGGACTGGGGATGTGCAACCCCACTGCAAGTGGCTGCTCAGCAAACACCAGCCATAGGGCCCAGGGAGGAGGAGGGTCTCTGCACTGTGCCAGACCCCAACACATGGCATCTGGTAACGCCAGCCGCTGCCAACACCTCCCCACTAATTCCCCCTCGCTCGGCAGGGAGGGGTTGGGCATGTTGGGACAGGGATGAGAAGCTCTCTGGGCAAGAAGCAAAAAAGAAGAGCGAAGGGGGAATAATGAAGCTACAGCCCCGGAAACCCACCCCTGCCCTGGGGTCCATCAGGGAGGCAGGCATGGGGGTGCGGGGAGGCGGCGGGGGTGACGGCTGGGGGCTGCCTGCCTGGCGCGCACCCCGGGCCGTGCACCCCATCATTCACGTGGCGCTGATCCGCCCCCGGTACCTCGCCGCTTCCCAGTCACTCTCCGTTGCAAATGTACAGGTAGATTGGTTGGGACTGAGTCCACGGGGCGGCAGGGGGCCGTTACTGCGACGCCTGCGACGTGGGGTTCTCTGACTTGCTCTCCTGGCTGGAGGGCGGTTTGCTGTTCCAGGGGCTGTTGGCCCCCAGCGCCGGCGAGTTGTTGAAGCTGTCCTCATCGTCGATGCCGTTGGCGGCGTCAAACTGCGTGTTCTCCAGCCGGGTGATGAGGCGCTCGTCCTCGTCCCCAAACTCCCCCCCCATCAGCGTGGGCTCGCCTACCACCATCACATCCTGAAAGGGGAGACGGTCCCGAAACATAATCGAGGTGGGGGGAGCCTGGGCCACTAGATCCCCCTCTCATCAGCACAGCCCCTTTCCCCAGCTGTAGGGCCACTTCCTCATCTCCACTGCAGAACCTGAGACTGGGCACTGAGTGGGGCAAACACATCCTCACTCCCTTGAAGGAGAGCAAAGAGACTCAGGGAAGCCAGCTGGGACACGCCCTCCTTCTTTTCCCCATCACATGGGCAGAACTGGTGTGGCTCAGATAGGTAGTCTCTGGGGGTCTCCCCCTAGCAGCTCCCAGGGGCAGAGAATCCTCCCCTCCATCCCAGGGCAGGAAGAGAGAATGGAAACGGGATGCTTACAGGTACCTGACTGGACAGGGCAAAGGTGCTGGCTGGGCTCTTCTTCTTGCTGTTGCTGTTGTTGGTGTTTCCCCCACCAGAGCTCATGGTGCTGCCCCCGGACATCTTCCTTTTCCGGCGCTTGCTGGGCTGCTGCCGTGCTGGCTCGGCTGGTGAAGGATGGAGACATACATGGTCAGTCACCATAAGCCGGTGCCCCTACAGGCCCTTTTATGCAAACCCTACTTCTTCAAGGAACACATTCCCCCCCTTCAGGCTGTATCATCACCCTCCTCACCTCCACAGCTTTGCTGTCTCCCAGACCAGAGGACAGGTGAGGGGGCAGGAACATTTCCATCCCTGCTTTGCTTTCTGCAAGCAGCTGGCAGCCTCGAGGCAGGGAGCACTGGCTGCCCGCAGCCCTGCTGTGCTCCACTGGGAAGGCAGACCAGCATAGAAAGAAGCCAAATGCCTGGTTCACCACCCCCAGCCTTATAAAACAAAGCTAAGAACAGCTCTGGGGCTAGAAGAAGCCTGCACCGAGGGCAGGGCCTGAGCAGGCAGTCCCAGAGACCCCAGGCAGCAAAGCAGGCAGTGTGAGACTCACCGGGTGGAGCGACCATCCGCTGCCACTTCTGGAAGAGGCAAGTCTTGAGGCAGTCTCGGGGACTGAGGCTGTAGGTCTTGTGCCGTGACATGAGCTCCTGCATTGGTTCTAGGATTACACAGAGCTGCAAGAACAAACTCTGGGTTAGACTGCAATGCTCTGAGACCCAGCAAAATGGAGACCCCATAACCCTAACACCTCTACAGGCAGGCGTCTGTGCTGCAACTACCCAAGCCATGCTGTGAATTTGTGGGATTTGGCAGATCCACTGCCCCATAGCTCTCTACACCTCACCCCTACTACAAGATCCCTTTCACAAAGCCAGCCTTGCAGCCTACCCAAACCCCCGGCCAAACAGGCATCAGGCAGCTGAGAGCACAAGACATGGCAGAGCTGCAACCCTCCTCTTCTCACTCTACACTTACTCGGAGGTAGTTGAGTGTGGAGTTTGAGAGCCCACAGCGCGTGATGTTCTTGGATAACTGGTCCAGCATCTGGGGATCCTGTGCCTAGGAGTGAGAGGGACAGAAGGCTCAGCTGCATCCAGGCTGGGAACAGCCCTCCCATGCCCTGGCCTGTGATGCATGACTGGGTTGAGGTCCCCCACCTGCACAGCACCCTGAGGAGCTCAGCAGCCCTGTGTTGTTCATGTCCAGGGGAGCTCCTGGAGCTGTACTCACATGCATGGCAAGGATGCTGCGGGGAATAAGTTCTCGATGCTGGCGGATGCTGAAATGCCACGTTTTTATCCTCATCATGTCATCAAACATGAACTCCAGGTAGAGCCGCCCCTCCACACACACCTGGGCAGGAAGGGCAGAGTCAGGCACAGGCTGCCCCAGCTTTCCCCAGCCCAGATCCCCTGGGAACCCACTGCTGCACACTGGAACACACTCATAGTGGCTTGCCTCTGCCTCTCACAAGTCTCAGCAGAAGCCATAACCACAAGCCCAAAATGCACAGCCCCGTGGGACTGTAGCCAGCAAGAGGGCACAAAAAACCAAGGCAGGAGGGGAAGCAGAAGCTGCGGGTGCAGGCAGTACCTGGGTGAACATGGGCTTGCCGTGCTGGGTGACCATGGTGCACTGGTCACAGTCCAGCGAGACAAAGTTGTTGTGGAAGGATTCCTTGGGGTGCTTGAGCACGTAGTACAGCTCTGTGGCTCCCCCTTCAAAGATGCTGCGGAAGTAACGGGGAATCAGAGTCCGGCCAATCGCTGCAGCAGGAGAAAGAGGAAAATAAGGTCAGTAAACCCAGCTAATCCAGATGTTCCGTGGAATGTACATGATGACGGTCCCCCCGTACCTTCTGGATGGAAACAGCTGAGCTCTGACACCCTACCCACATCCCCCATAGCACACAACTGACTCCTGCTGAAGGGCAACGCCCTTAGGAAGGAGGGCTCAAGCTGGTACTCACTGTATCTCTTTGGTCCATCCTCCAAGCAGAAAGTGATTGTTAACATGGCATCATCCTCAAAGAACTCTGTGGTGAAGGCATCCCACCACAGATTGTCACATTCCTGGGAATGGCAGAAAGATGCTACGTTATGGGGAGGAGAGAGAGACAGACAGACACTGGCTGCCAGGCACAGCAGCCATGTGCTCAACCCACAGAAGACTGCGCTCGGAGATGGGGGTGATAAGCCCTGTCCCACAGCCACATGTGGGAGAAGGTGGTGAGGGCCCCCACTACCAAAATATGGCCCTGGCCAACCCTCACCCTCCCAAGTGCCTACCTCTGTCCAGTTCTGCAGCCGCTTGTTGAGTTCAAATATCCTGTAGTCGGTCTGGTTCCCGTACGGCGTGTGCCTCCTGCCCAGAGAGCACAGCAAGCCATCAGAGGGGAAGGCAGCCACAGGGTGTGGAGGGGTCCTGAGCCCACAGGGGGAACACATACAGCCACTCCAGGGCTGGCAGAGTCTGAGCAATCCTCCCAAAAGCCCCAGCCAGCCAGCATGCTGGCCCTGATGTGGCACCCCCACCACAGGCACCAGCTCCCCCCAGGCAAGGTTCACACCAGCCCCCCATGCTTACCCGATTCCAGGCTCCAGGTACGTCGGTGGGTACATAGGAGTAGGTCTAGCAGTGAAAAGAAATGAAGGCACATCAGTGCTAGCAGGGTTCTCCCTGCTCAACACAGCTCCTACTTCCCTGGCTACAGCAGGCAGTCAGGCTCACTGGAGCTGAGTGACTCCCCACAGTGCAGACTATACTCTGGCTGCCAATATTTGATAGCCTCATGGGGCGAGCTGTAGCCCAAAACTGGGCTCTGATCCCACATCATTGGCTCCTCCACTCCTGAGACCTAGCCAACTGCTCCTTGGGGACATATCCAGCTCCTCTGCAGCAGTGACTGGTGCCAGGCACTGAAGAAGGGGCTGTTTTGGCAGGAGCTGGGAGGGCTCCTTGTCATCCCAGGGGCTTGGTCAAGCAAAGGCCTGACAGAGGTCAGGACCTGGAGGCTTCCTTCACTCCAAATATCACTTATTCTCAACCCACTAACACTGTGCCTGCTCCAATTCCCTCTTTGCTCTTGTGCTAACTGAACTCCATGCACTGCAGCCTCTGTTTGCTTCTGGGAAGCATAACACAGAGACCCTGGGGTGCAAACTGCAGAGTGTCCTTGACATTGCAGAGCCCTCCCTGGACCCCAGCTCACCCCACATCTCGATCCAGCATGGTGCCTGGGTGGAAGGGAGGGAAGGCGTTGCCGTTCGGGGGCTCCTTTGGCGAGTACAGCTTGAACGACTTAGAGGAACAGCCTGGAGAGAGAGAGGGGACA